AATACATTATGTTTTAATTCGTTTAATAAAAGTGTAGCAAGTAAACTTGGAAGTTTCATGACGGCAGACTTTGATGAATGAATGTTGCCAGAGCTTTTAAAAATAAGATGGATTGAGGAAAGTATAAATTAAATATTCATTTAAAAGTTTACAATATATAATTATTTTTATTGCGAAGAATAATCGTTGTTTGAACATTAAAATTTTTAACGGTTATTTTTGCACTTTCACATTTAAGAATAAATATCTTAATGCTAATAGTTCTTAGTTAGTTCTAGTTCTTGATTTCATCTAAATCCGTCCAGCAGTTTCAGCTTGTAACAGATACACACACACTCACATATACACACAAACACACACATACGCACACGCGCACACACACACGCACACGCGCACACACACACACACGCACGCGCACACACGCACGCACACGACACGCACACGCACACGCACACGCACACGCACTCACGCGCACACATACACACACACACACATTCATGCACAAACTTTGAACTAGTGTCATTATAGTCCTTATAAAGCTATTAACAAATGACGAAAGTTCTAAATTTTGTTATTTGACTTATATCATCCTCGTCTCTTCTGTTCTACAATATTTTCGAGGAATTTCTGTTGAATTTTTCAAATGAATTATTCATTCAATTATCTTTACTCACCCCTTTCCGGCAGTCTGGCTAACACTTAGTCAGTTTTTTATTATTTATTGTTTAACTTTAGAGCTAACTCTACAATAATTACCAGATAGCCGTTGTTTTTACAATAAAGCAACCCAAAAAAAAACTCTTTAAAGGGTAGTCAATAGATTTTTCAGTCTTTATGTTCTACGAAGATTACAAGGTAGGAAGGTACGAAGGCACAAATTCAATGTTTTTACCTTAGATGAACCGACGGATGGATTGGCAAACATTATATACTTTAATAACATTCAGTTCCGTTTCCGACCTTTGAGGTATTTACTGTAATAAATGTTTTTTTTCTGAAAAGGGCAAATGACATTTAATTTCAAAGCTGTAAGTATTTTTTTAATTTTTTAAGGTGAAATGTTTTGTTAAATATTTCATGTCAATGTAATAATTACTTTCATTTAATTTTTATTATGTTTAATTTTTTTTAATCATTGTTTTAATAAAATACTGATAAATGCTATTGAATATTATAACCTACATGGGCTTTATTATAACATCATAATTTATTATTTTAATCTCACATAATTGCTTTATTATATAATTAAACTACATATTGTTATAGCGGAAATTTTTTCCGTATTTTTCCCATTTTATTTTCGCACCTTGTAAAGATTAGCTGGGATACAACACTCATTGTACATGAAGATTAATTACATCAGTACGGTCTGTTTGCTTCGAGAAATAAAGAACTATTGCGCTTGGATCAGCAATCGTCCTCGATTTAAATAAATGCTTTTGATTGGATTCTACCTTACTGTCTTTAGGTCGAAAACCCTATTTAGATTAATGCTTCTCCAAAGTGAAAGCCTTAAATTTTATTTACGATCTTATATTGTTGTTTACCCAGACTTCCAAAAACGAAAAGGTTCCATGTTCATCTGTTTGTATTTTTTTCGTATGTTCACTGATTTTATTGTAGTTTTAACGTTTTGACAGATTTTGCTACTTTAAATTGTTCTATTAAGGTAGGCCCCGAGGTGGTCCCATAAAATTTTCTTTGATATAGAGTGTACTATTTTGGAGAAAATCTGGAAAAACCATGAAATTTTTTTGAATATATTAATAGATAATTAGAAAGTTAAATTAAAAGTATTTTTTACCTACTTCTAATTGTCATATCGACTTTGGCGTTTGTATTTCAGATGATAGTACAGTGATTTGGTCATCGAGCTGATTTGATGATGAGGCCGGAGAGTGGATAGTGGAACTCTTTAATGGCTACTAGTAAATACTTTGAGTTTGGGCTTAATTGGTTTGATTTGACAAACACCATATGGTGTTTGTCACTATAGTTACATATACGTAAGAATGGAATTTTAGAGTCAGATTTTTAGTGATACTAATAAAAGCAAGTTTTTTAGCCTTCATAGAAAAATTGGTAGATATGGATCATATTATAAACACGAATAAATATTTTAAGTGTTAGGTGGGTACTATTTTACATTGACCATGATAATTGGCATCAAATTGAACATAATCGTTAAGCCATATTATTAAACAAATATTTTATTAAAACACTTTCTTCTTACAAATTTGCTATGCCTAGTACATTAAAAATGGTAAAATAAAAACTTTAAAAAAAAGGACTCATATGGGTGCTCCTGGTACGTCTGTGAGTAGAGTAGACCGTGGGAGCAACCCCTTGGTTGAGTGCGTAAATGATCCTGCGACGCCCCATTTACAAGGGAATGATTCCCTTTGGATTTTAATGGGTAGTACCGGCTTTTCTAGCCGGTTAGTCGCACATAACCCCATGTATGTACAATATACGCAGGTGGAATGAGTAAACGCATTTACCAATATAAAAAATGCAATGATATATTTTTTTAAATATAAAACAGTATGTAGAATTTTGTAATCAATTCCAGTAACATAAAATATGAAACTAGATGACATTTTGATGTAGACATTTACATATTAATGAAATTTCATATTCGGATAGAATGGTTTTAAATTAGTTAGTGTCTCTCGAAGCGTCCAGTATGTACAAAATCTAATGAAATGTATGTTTTATTCTTATTAATAAATATAACCTACACATTTATCGATACTAATATTTTAAATACAAAATTGTGTCTGATTGTTAGTTTTTTATGGTTGATCTTCGATTTAATCAATAAAATTTGATACGAAGAAAACGATAAGATATTTAAAAATATTTCTCATTTTGCTATTTTTTGGAAATTATTTTGTGCATTTACTGTAAGTTTGCATAATTATCCAACATTTGCATTTAAAAATGCCCACTTCCCACACAATATTCCGGTATGAATTTAAATGAAGTATAACAATAACTATGGTAATATGATATTATACAATAATTATATTGTATTAGCGACTCACCCTCGCTTCGCTCGGGTTCGTCCTTACTTATGTTTTAACATTTAGTATAGATAGTAGTATAGTAGTATAGAATAGATTTCTCAGAGATGAGATATTTTCCCGTAGTAAAAAGTATCCTACATCTATCATCACCAGCTATCATCATACCAAATTTCATCAAAATCCCTCCCGTGGTTTTTCCGTGATGCGGTAACAGTCAGACAGACAAAAATTCTAAAAACCATAGATTCGGCCTCTGTATCGATAATAAATGTCTATATCAATAAGATTTCAAAAAAATGTTTAATTTACAGATTCGGCTTAGTTACAATTTTATTATAGGTAGGTATAGATTTCACGATATTGATAATATGATGAATTTCTTGCGATAACTTAAAACATGTCATGGGTTTTAGCAGCGCACTATAATTTTTTTATTTAACTAGAAAATCGGTAAAGCATATTTCGAAATTTTACTAACCAATGTCCATCGTATCTTCTCCTTTAACCACTTATACTTAACCAATATGACGATATTGTTATATAACCTACTAGCGAATCACCCTCGCTTCGCTCGGGTTCGTCCCTTAGTATGAAATACAAATCTTTGAATTTCTCGGCTTTTCTGTACTATAATATGCATGTAGACATATTTTACATTTAAACTTTCCTCTTGAATCATTCTATTTATTGCTGAAAACTGCATTAAAATCCGTTGAGTAGTTGAAAAGATATAAGCGATCAGACAGCGGAAGCGACTTCATTTTATACTATGTATGTACGTATGTGCTCAACTAGCACGTTTAATAAGAAAATTAAAATCAAAAACGAATTAGTAAAAAAACGTGAAAATACTATATTTAAATACATTACCCCCTTTTTAGGGTAGTTGGATAGACAGTTAATATACATGACAATGTTGTCATTCAAGGTTTCTACCCCATCCCCTTTTCATGTAAAGCATGTAAGGCGTAATTGCTGCCAACTCGGTTTTTGTGTACGTATATTATAGTCAGCTTCTAAGGGATTCATAAAAAATAAGTATGTACGTGAAATCTGTCATTATGTTAATAGCATTCCCTTCAGAACGTCTATTTGTATAAAGGATTGCTGTTTATTTTGTGTGGGTTACTATTGAATAGGTATTGCAAAGTAATATTTAATTTTATACTCTTTTATCCAGAAAATCGCAATATTTATTTCACTTTTGCTTAATACGATCTATTTGTAACTTACCACTTATTGCATTTTGCGTGTTTTACCATAAAACTTTAGAACTGGTACTTCACATGAGATGTTGAAGTTATGCTTTACACTAATTTGTTCAGTTAATCTATACTAATATTATTAAGACTTAAAGTTTGTGAGGTTGTAGGGGGTAATCTCTAGATCTACTGAACCGATTTAGATGAAATTTGGTAATAAGATAGCTTGAGACCCTGGGAACACCCGTCAGCCACGGGAGAGATTAAGGTTTAAGATGTCTCAAAGTCATTTTCTTTATGTTTATAAGTGTAATAATCGCAACACTAAATAAGATTACTAATTAATAAAGTTTTCTAATAAATTTCAAAAAAATTTAATAATTATAATAATAACAGCCAAAATTAAATAAATAATATTCCATATTCTTTTTTATAACTTATTAAAATTATTTATATAATACATTTTACTGCGGGAAAGTATCTCATCTCTGAGAAATCTATACTAACTGTTATAACATATCTAGGGACGAACCCGAAAGGAGCGAGGGTGAGTAGCTAGTTTGATACAAGATCCATACAAATTATGATAAATTCCTATTTTTTTGTTAGGTCAGAGATAGATAGGTTATTGGTCCCCCATGAAGACGGGGGAGGTTCCGTAGGGTTTTAGCTGGTAGTACTGGCTTTGCCAGTGAGTCCCACACCTCGTGCCTAAATGCATTTCCCAACGTTAAAAAAAAAGTTTATTGGAATTCACAGTCAGTCTTACCTGAGGTCAGATAGCTCATTGAGAAAGGCTTCACCATTGACGGGCTCGACGCGGTTCTTGAACAGGAGAGATGGTAAGTCACCCATTTGTTCGATAGCCATGTCTGTTCCAGTGAAGCGTTGTGTTAGGTTTGATCTATATAAACAATAGATAGTCAAATTATATATGGTTTGGTATTTTAATTAATATTGCACTATGATTATAATTATTAATTATTTAAAGTTCTTTTAAATATGTTTGAAATGAAATGAAATAAAATTAATTCGAGTAGACTTACTACAAGTGCTTTTAAAACGTCAATTTAATGTAAGCGTCAGTATAGTCTGTCCGAGAGAAAGCTACCACCGGCTCGGAAAGCAGTTCTGCTGAGAAGAGCAGGCAAGAAAATGAACAGAAACTTGATAAAATACTAAAATTATGCTGCTGCGGAAGTAAATTTCGCATAAAATGTCACTCATCATGAGTAAAGTAAATTAGTATAAATTAAGAAAGTCAAAAGGTGTCATATGTATTGAAATATTTTTATTTCTGTGAAAGGAACAAAAGAAATGGATCCCAAAAAGTTATATTCTGATTTAAATATGCTATATAGAATGGAAAATGAAATAAAAGTTTAATCTTATAATATTAATGAGCAATTCATAATTCTTCGTCTGTGTATATTATATACCTAATATTCAACCTATTAGTAAAAAATATATAAAACTGGTTCAAAATTGGTGAAGATATTACGTAACATGCACAAAAACAATAAAAAAATACAACCAAATTCCTTCAAACCTCTTTTTCCTTGATGTCGGTCAAAAAGGACTCTACGCTCTTTATTTACAACTTTCTTTATAACAATTTAAGAATTTTATTATTTTAATTATTTTAGAAACGTTTAAGTTAATATCTTAATTCTGTAAAATATAAAGATTTTTTTATTGTAATGCTCGTGAAAGGACTCCATTTTTGTGTACGTTTTCTGTATGAACAGACAGATTAGATTTACGAACTCTGGACCACGCTGGATATGTATTATTACCCATGAGAAAGCACTCATTTTCTCAGAGATGAGATATTTTCACGCAGTAAAAAGTACCATAAAGGTTGATCCAGATAACCAGCTCCACCCAGTTTTATCGTAATGCGTTCCCAGATAGACAGACAGACAGACGAAAATTCTCAAAACTATAGATTCAGTCTCTGTATTGATAATAAGATTTACCAAAAAATATTTAATGCACAGAATCGAATCAGATACAATTTTATTATATGAATAGATTATAATTTTTGATTGAATGTGACTTCTTGAATGATGACAAGATAATTCTCTTGAACATTTTAAATACATTTTACGTCAATGAATAGACGTCAAAAGAATTTCATGCGAATTCGTTCCCTGTCCCTTTTACTTATCAAAGCAAAACAAAAATGTATAAACAACTAATGTAAAGGGTGAAATAAAAACGTAAGCGACATTTTAACTATCATTATACTATTATTAGTACCGAGACGGACTTTTTTATAAAAATTCCTTTTTTTTCAGAAAGATATAAATATTATATACGTATAGTATATATATAATACTAACGACTCACCCTCGCTTCGCTTGGGTTCCGCCCTAGGTACGTTTTAACGGTTAGTATGAAATACAAATCTTTGAATTTCTCGGCTTTTCTGTACTATAATATACATGTATTATACATATAAACCTTCCTGTTTAATCACTTTATCTATTAAAAGACCGCATCAAAATCCATTGCGTAGTTTTAAAGATCTAAGCATACATACGGACAGACAGACAGTGGGAAGCGACTTTGTTGTATACTATCAACTATGTAGTAATCATAAGTTAAGATGAGAGGAATGCAAAAGTTTTTAAGTGTGTATATGTGTTCCTCTTTTTCGCTGAAATGACTGAATGGATTTGCTTCAAAAGGCGTCTGCCTGTATATAATATTATAATACAAAATTCACCTAGTGACGCACCCGGGCGAAGCAAGTGTATTGCTATGGGGACCGTGCAAGAAATGTAGAGGGCAGCCCTATTGTCCCCCTAGTGTGTTATATCCGAAGATAGTGGGATAAGTATTTAAAATAAATATTTATAAAAATGGAAAAAATAATAAAATATAAGTTATTAATAATATTGTACATGGTAAGAATAGTGAGAAAGGTAAAAAAATATCCAAGTCCAATCATGTTTTTGGTGTAGTAGAAAAAAGTAATAAAATTGAAACTGTAGTAACCCCAAAAGTTGTACCACAAACCTGTGTTAAATGTTTGAGATGTGAAAATTATGTATAAAAAAACTACTGTAAAAATACTTAGTGTAATCAAATTAAAAAAACAACATTTTTTTCTTGACGTTGACATTATTGAAAAACGATAGCAATAAATTGAGATGTTTGCCTGGCTATCTAAATGTACGGTCCCTATTGCGAAATAATTGAAAACAGACTGCTATATACATTGAACTACATTCGACTATTTATTATATTAATTAATTATCTATTCTAATATTATAAAGAGGAAAAAAATGTTTTTTTGTTTGGTTGTTTGTATCGAATAGGCTCGGAAACTACTAAGCCTATTTAGATAAAAATTGGTAAGAAGATAGTTTGAGACCCTGGGGAAGACACACAATAGTTTTTATCCCGGAAATGATCCTTTAAGGGTGTGAAAATGGGGGTGAAAGTTTGTATGGGGAAGTAAACTAGGAACGATCCCGAGCGAAGCGAGGTTAAGTCGCTAGTCTATATATAAATTAGCAAAAGAAAAATAGTTCAGTTGCTTTTTCTGTGTTTGTCAATCGATTTTCTTATTCTTTTGTTTAGTAGTTATGGACGAGCCTTATTGTTATCAATAAAATAAATATTGTCTAATTTCGAGCTCTGAGCGAATACTAGATACAAAATAATTAATTTCATTTAATCGATCGATTTTGATATCTGTGTAGCTTAAATATTTTAATATTTGTTTATCTTATATTTATAGAAGGATGCTCCACACCTTGTTTTTCATTTACTCTTGCATCATCAATCTTATCTTTCTAACTTTCACTTTTTTTTTCCTTGTTTTTTTAACTTGTTTTTTTCGTCCCTTTATCAGCAAGTCAGTAACGGAATGCTGTGATTGTCTGTATGGATATTAGATTTTACTATTTTGAAATCGTTTACTTTTTTAGTTAATAGCTATTAGCTATTATTATACATATATTTTATAATCGATTGCAAAACAGAGAACCGTACCTCTTCAATTTGATCCTACTTTTTTTATTGCATATTACTCCATGTTTTTCGTAATTGTGATACGATTTTCATATCTTTTTTCGAACGAATACCTATACATACTTTGACCGTATAAATTAAAAAAAAAACCTAAGGTCAGAATAATTAGGTGATTTTGAAGTGACGTACCTTTAATATTATTAATTGTACATTTATCATGGTACATTATAATTTTTTTGAACAGTACCCTTATTCTTTATCTTTTACTGAAATAAAGGTAGCCTAAGTTACTCCTTATAACATCAACTATCTGCCAGTAAAAGTCCCGTCAAAATCGGCCGATTCATTTTGGGGATGAGCCGGAATACACAGACAGGCAGACAAAAATTTTAAAAATTGTGTTTTTCTTAGAAATACCGCATATAATTCCATATGCATTTAGTAAAAATCTGTTATTTTGACATTAGAAACAGACACTTCAATTTTATTTATCTGTAAAGATGTATAAGTATAGATGATTAATATTAATTTAAATATTCTTTTCACTCTTGTAAAAGAGCTTCCATTTTGAATAACTTTTAAAATTCAGCAGTTAAAATGTGTATAATACTTATTGAAAGATTTAGTTATTGGAAATACTTTGACTTTTGTACACCATAATTAAAGCAAAATTAAAGAAAACGGATTAAGAAGGAATTATTCTCAGTCTCATAATAAAATACAAATATAATTCTTATATTTTGGACATATAATATCAAGTTTTCTGTATCAATGAATAGAATATACAGTATCTAATCAGTCGAAGAGACATATTTACAAAGAAAACTATGTGGAGGAAAAACAATCTAAGCATGTAGCGATATTTCATTATGTTACACTTGGTGACCTTGTGACTTTATGGAAAAATGGAACAGCTACCCTTAACTTTTGTCCGTCTGTTTTAACTTATTTTGGATGTATATACTTGAAAAAAGGTGGATTCGACTCGGGTTAAGATTTTTTGTGTAATTGTTGGTGTTATGGTACCGACCGAGGCAGTTGAGATGGCCACAGATCGAAATCCTGGCTTCGAGTCCAGAAATGACTTCAGACTTTGAAAGTGAAGAGGAATATAGAGTGCACTTGTGTCTGCGCGTACACTTATGCATTATAATATCTCCTGCGCAGTTGACTAGTCTCAGTGAGATTAGCCACAATCGGTCAGGACATCATCATGTTATCCATATATTTATTAAGATTGTGAATGAAATACAATATGTATCGTGTTGTTTCAAAAATATTGTTTTTGTATAAAAATAAAAATACCTTATTCTGTAATTAAAAAAATATGAAAATTGGTATATATATATATATATATATATATATATATATATATATATATATATATATATATATATTCAGTATTTAAATAAGCAATATATATGCCTCGGTGGTGTAGTGGCTAGCATGTACGGCTGCACACTCGGAGTTCCTGCGTTCGAGTCCCGGGTCGGGCCAAGTGTAGTTATTGAGTATTTCTGTATAGTAAGTCTTAGTAACAGCCCGGAGTTGGGAAGTTGGCGGTGTTTCACCCCTGTGCCTCGGAGAGCACGTAAAACCGTCGGTCGCCTTAACTCTCACTGGTCGTGTCGAGTAGTCGTCCCACCGGAGTATGAGAGTGACAGGAATAGAAAGTGCATGATGTCTCTGGCGTACCCTTGCACTATAATATCTCCTGCGTAGTTGGCTAGTCTCAATGAGATTGGCCGCCGTAGCCGAAATCTCCTAGGAGAACATCACATATATATATATATATAGCTTATTTAAATACTGAATTTATAAAACAGAGTTTACTCATTGTTTATTGTGATGAAATCTAAAATTTTCCTGTTCAGGATAATTCTACTTTTTACTTTATCCTAGTCTGGAATTGCTTATTCCAGCAGAAAAGTGAATAGTCGTGCATAGGTAAGATTATATGAGTCGAAGGGTAAGCTAATCGTGGGTGTGTAGATAGATTTAACATAGTAAGTCATTTAAGTATGCAATTTATTATAGATTTTAACGTTAAGTATATGTAAGTAAATCTATACAGATAAATAAAATCGATGTGTCTGTTTCTAATGTCAAAATAACAGCGTTTTACTAAATGCATAAACGGTACTTATAAAAAACACATTATTTTTTTTTATTTTGTCTGTCTGTTTGTTCCGGATAATCTCTGAAAACGCTGGACTGATTTTAACGGGACTTTCAATCGAATATAGCAAATTTTATGTGAAGTAACATAGGATACTTTTATTTTACAAAAAGAACTAGGGTTCCGCTCAAAAAAATTAAAACGTACCTACCTAGCTAGCTAGTAAAAAATAATTTGCAACCTTTGCACTTACATTTTTTACTACATTATAGCACTGTAAATGGTTGTTTCAATTAAGGATTTGATATTGCAAAAATACCTGTTTTCTGGATGGTATAATTTTTTTTATGTATATGCGAAGTCAGTGCACCTCTTCGCAATAAAATTTCTTTTAACTATTTGAACAATAAAATTTAAAAAATTGTATACCTAATTGAAAATAAGTACCGGTCTAAATTTTTGACAGTCGAAACGATTTCTACTTTATTATTTACTAGCGGCTTCAAAGGCTTCGCCTTTAGAAAAACAAAAACAAACCTATCTCATGGGAACCTTACATTTTTTCGGGATAAATAGTAGTCTATATGCTATTTCAGACAGATAATCTATGCTTGTGCCAAATTTTATCCCGATCCGTTCAGCTGTTCTGACGAAAGTAAGAAGCATCCATACAAACATCCAAACATCTAAACTTTTACATTTATAATATTAGTAAAATATTAAAAAAGGCAAATCAAATCTGTTCAGCACCTTTTTCTCATCTGTTTTTTTCTTGTTATTTAAGTTTAATCAATAGAAAATATTTGGAACAGCTTTTTATTATATTATGGTTTAATTTCCAACACTGGGTGAACTCTAGTTGTTATTTATTCTACATACCTAAGAGTGCTTCCGTTAGTAAAGATGAAGAATGCTACTTCAGATCGCTCTTGCTGCAACCTGGTTACCAGCTTCCCTAGTTCAGTGGCTCGGCTCACCTGCAAATATAGGATTTTTAAGAAGGAGCCATAATAAGTAAGAAATTATTTGTTTTTTTATTATATAAAAAATTGAATAACTAGCGACTCACCCTCGCTTCGCTTAGGTTCGTCCCTATATAAACTTTGATTACTTCTCTTAAGGGATGGTTTCCGGGATAAAAACTATCCTATGTCCTTCCCAGGGTCTCAAACTATCTTCTTACCAAATTTCATCTGAACCGGTTCAATAGATCCAGAGACTACCCCCTACAACGTCACAAACTTACAAACTTTACCTCTTTATAATATTAGTATAGATAATATAGATTTACAATAATGCATGAAGTTCGCCCGATTTGTTGACATTTATAATTATTGCTCCACTCGCTTGGTTAGTAGCGTGATGATATATAGCCTATAATTTTCCTCAATGAACGGGCTATGTAAAGCAAAAAGAATTTTTCAGATAGGATTAGTAGTTCCTGAGATAAACGCGTTCAAACGAACAAACTCAACCTCTTTATAATATAAGTTTAGATGAAATATCATGAAGTATTTTTTAATATATTTATTAATTAATATTTACGATAATATGTTACTTTTATATTTAAACTGATTTTTATTTTTGAAAATGTTTTGTTTTATAAGTTTGTTAGTTTTTATTTTATCGAAAAGAACATAACAAGTAAAGTATTTGGCAAATATTAATACATAGAAGGAATTATACGTATAATAATACTGTACATAAAACATTTTATCAATACAAGATGAAAGTCACCCCAAATATTCAGTAGAGCAAACGAAAAAGACTCATAAGTTGGTGTGATCAGGAAAGAATGATTTGATCCTCAACCTTGTTCAGATTCCGAGGAAAATTTTACCACATTTCTTATAAACATATTAATTTGGTTGGTAAATCTTGTGTGTAAATGTTGAATGTAAACTTTGAAATGCGATTACTAATATTATACAATATACATACTAGTGTTCGTTCAAATACGGCTTTAACCGTTATTGAAAATTTATGAAAATTATGAAAAACTAATCTATCCCACGGGAACTATACATTTTCCCGGGATAAAATGTAACCTATGTGTTATTTTGATGTATGAGCTATATTACTGTAAAGTTTCATTAAAATCCATTAAGTAGTTTTTGCGTGAAAGAGTAACAAATATCCATACATCTATACGTTCAAGACATCCGTTTACATCATTACAAACTTTCGCATATATAATAATACTAGCAGAACCCGAGGCTTCGCTCGCCCTAAAACTACAAATCATCCAAACTTTCATCGCGTTCATCACGTAACTATTTAATATTATTAAAGAACATTAATACCAAGTTTCAAGTTATTCTGATAATAAATATTTTTTTGAATTGTATTATAACGTGCTTTCCCGTGGGAATGAGATAATCTGCCACAATAAAAAGTACCACTCTTCAGCCCTCCAACTATCTCCACACAAAAAATCACGCCTATCCGTCACTCCGTTTCGACGTGAAAGAAGGACAAACAAACAAACAAACAAACAAACACACTTTCACATCTATCTATATAAAAGGCAAAAGTGATTGACTGATGTGTCAACGCACAGGCCAAACCCTTAAGGGTCAACATATAGGATACTTTTAACTGCGAGTGTAAGTCGCTAGTAAGCTATAAAAGAAAAATATATAAGATAATAGGACATATAATAAATTTTAATACGTAAAAAATAGCGATAATTCGACAAGATAGAATATTAAAAATAATGTGTTATCGTCTAATTTGGGCAAATTAAATGAATGTTAATGAATAAGTACCGTGCGACCGAGCTTCGCTGGGCGTATTTCGAAGTAGTTATAAAAATTGCGTTTTTTCAGCAAAAACACCTATTTAGATAAAAGCGAAACCATATCTAAATACAAAATTTGATCCAAATCGTTGGAGCCGAAATCAATTTATATACCTGTATAATATTTTTACAAGAATTGCTTATTTAATATTGTAAGATAAAAACATACACTGACCTTCGGTGTAGTAGACCAACGCTTTTACCATTAGGCTATTCAGACGGCGGCGGCAGCGGTTAAATTACGAACCAGATAGCGCGGGCAATTCTTTTTAGGTGAAAATACGGAGAAAACGAATTTTCGCAGATATAAGACCTAGCTAGATCGTCTATCGTAGCCGTATATTGCAAATTTCATCGAAATCGTTAGAGCAGTTTTCGAGAACGTATTTACAAATATATACATATACATAATATTAACAACCCGCACTTGGTCGGCGTGGTGGACTATGACCTGATCCCCCTCGTATTGAAGGAAGGCTCGTGCCCAGCAGTGGAAGGTTAAAAAGGGCTGAATAAATGCATACATACATACATACATACATACGCACGTACGTACGTACGTACGTACGTATTTACGTACATACATACATACATACATACATACATACATACATACATACAAATATGCTCGTTTAATATGATTAATGATTTTCCTTGTATCAAAATGTCATTAAATTCATACTTAGAAAACTCAGCACACGTTTGTTTAATACGAAAATCTCTTTCAAGAAGCCAATGGTTATAGAACTAAGCACCTTGACAGTCCCTTGCTTTAAAAATGTAGTAGAGAATTTTTTATTTTTTTATGTCTGTGCAACGACCCATCGTTGTCGCTTAGGCTACAGGAGCTGACACACAAATGATTACAGTTTTATTTCTCAACGAGCGACACTAGAAATGGAAAATATATTTTATAAATTGCTTTCATTTACTACAAAATATATACGTTTACTTTTTCTTTTTGAAAAAAAAAGTTTTTATGGCGTTTAGGAAGTATAAAGGCTAACTATTTGTTTTTCTTTTCACCGGTTTAATACCTCGCTTCAGAATAGCAGGTAATAAAATGGGAGTTCTGCAATAATTATAGTTTAATTCAATAATTAATTAATAAAGTAAACAAATATAATGAATTTAACACACATACATTGTTTATCATGCTTGTATATATTTAGTATTAATTTTACCGTCACGTCTACGGTTTCACTAATCCTATCACCAAAGGTTATCTGTAAGAGACTTCTCATAGCAATAAGAACGCCTTTGCATGCCTTTTTGTTAGTTTTCTTTTCATCTTCTGCACTCTTCTTTTATGAGTGCAATATCTATCTAAAAATATATTCATACAAAATTCGACTTCGTACGCTACTGTCGAATGTCGTAATCACTATACTACACGATATTAACATTTAAAATGTTATAATAAAATGTAAATATGTATGTATGTATTATGAATATTTTTGCTTACCTACCTCAAATATTGCTGAGACTCGCGTGTAAACAAAATCTTGTATGAGATTAGTTCATACGGGTACGTTCTTTTATGACTTTTCTATTTACATACATATATAATATTTACAAATAAAAATGGATGTTCGTATGTTTGTCCTTTATGCGTTCTTAAACGATTAATCTGATTATAATGAAACTCTGGTGGGTTATACTGTATACGCTTGCGAAGGTTCCAAATGCAAAAAAAAAATTTTTTCTTTGGACGTTTGCCTTTAATATTTGCCTTTGCTATTTAAGCTTAGGAATGTATCTAAACGAAATAACTTAGGGGTAAGTCGCTAGTATTATATAACTCCGTGCCACCTTTTGGCAAATTTTATTATTATATTAGCCTACGTGTTACTCCAGAGGTGATGGAGTAACATACACACACGCACAAGTTTTCACATTTATAATAATACTTGTATAGTTACATAATAATTTAAGTAAACGCTACAGTCAGTATATCTAACGTATAAGTCTTGAGATTCAGCTCTTCTATACTACCTTATCATAATATTAGTTCGCTTCATTGAGTCGTAAGCAAAACAGAAATGTAAATCTGTCCATTTATATTCAGTTGCTTATTATTTTAGATGCGTCTTTTACTTACCTGTATCGATGATATTTTAGAATAGAGTATATAATAAAGGTTTATTTGCACAGGCGCTAACCAAACAAATAAATGAAATTAATCGTGGGTTTAACTAATAAAAGGTTATCATTTGTAATTATAAAACCATTTCGAAAAAATTATGTAACCACAAAACACGAACCACATTTCTGGAACTAAAAAGTACAGAATAGCTGAACAAAATTATTATAATTAATATAATAAGTACCGAATCTTATCAATATTATAAAGGTGACAGTTTAGAATGTTTGTTACTCAATCACGCCAGAACGGCTGTACGGATCTGAATGAAATTTGGCCAAAGATAGGTTATAGTCTGAAAGAGCGCGTAGGCTATTTTTATCCCGTTAAAATGTACGGTTCCCTATTCCTGGTATTTACAAAATATCATATACGAAAAGAATATAATATTGTATATTTGTCAGAAAATAACTATGGTTACCATGGCAACATATCAATGTATTCCATTTTATTTTCTCTCCGGCTAAATCCTATATATTTGTGTTTGTCTCTTTTTAGTGTCGTATTTTTATTTCATCGAGTTTCAAATCACAACGATTCTAAACAAGTTTCACTTCAAAAACTTTTTGTCTTGTATTTTTGCATCTCGAATAATCGGAACGAAGTGGCTTATAAAAATAACTTTTATACTTGAAATATTATTAGTTTGTAATGATGAAAATGACTTGTACATTAATAATTAAGTATACATTTGTTTTGTACATGTAATTATTTTAGTAATTTCAATGTATTTCCTTTATTGTAAATAAAACTTTTGTACCTGTTCTTCCACATCGGCTACTTCCATGCCATTCGTGAGACTGTTCTTTAAAGAAAAAGTAGTTTGGACGATCAGGGCTAAAATGGGTATAAAAGGTAGCAGTAAAAGCCTCCAGAGCTGACAGTTCCGACTTCTGCACCAACGTCGCACTTTGAAGCAGTTTGTGTGGTCGTCGGGCTTGAGCTGCTTAGGAGATGCTGAGAACAAAACAAGGAAAAATATAATACCAATTTAATCTTTGACCGGCTTCAAAAGAAAGAAGTACTGAATTTGGTTTTATAATATCTTTTGCATTTGAAGTTTATGATTTTAAGTCCACTACACATATACTAGGTACTTGTGTTTTAAATGAAATATAATATAACGTTTCGTATATAGCAAATAAAGTTATGCATTTTTCATAGTAGTCTGATCATCCTAATAAATATGAAAAAAATAGTAAATAATATACTAAAAATGTAAGTATTGTGAAAATATTGTCAAAATTGTAAAGTATCTTTTATATACGAGAATAATTTAAATGGAGTTTTTGGAAAACAAAAGTTTTAACGTTGTTTTGAAGTCCATGTTCAAGCCTTTTTTTTTTTTAACGTTGGGAAATGCATTTACGCACGAGGTGTGGGACTCACCGGCAAAGCCAGTACTACCCACTAAAACCCAACAAAGCCATCCCCCGTCTTAATGGGGCGTCGCAGGATCGCTTACGCATTCAACTACGACGCCCCGACGGCAGGTCTGCCGAAGCAGACCACAACAACCACGGGGTTGCTCCAAGGTCCACTCTGCTATCAGAGAAGTACCAGGAGCAACCCGCATGGTACACCGCCCTCCGAAGAGGGCCGCCTCCCTGTGCGTTTCTTGGCTTCGCGCCCGGTTGGGTTGCACTACTGAGCCCCCCCACCACGACAAGGTGAACGCACGTAGCACGTTGGAGATTAAAGTTAACCAGGGCTTGAATAAAATTAATTGTGATTGGTATATTGAAACATGATTGGTTGGGCATAGCCGCTCTCTAACTCCAGGACTAAACAAATAACAAAGTTAAAAGTTATATTTATTAGGCTTTGTTTATTCTGTCTACAAGAAAGAAATTTTTACTTTAAAGTTCAAAATTTGACCACCCTCGAAGTACAAGTGCCTTTTTACAAGTGCCTTTTTTAATATAATAATAATAATAATAAATCTTTAATTCGGAATACTTTTCCATAAAATTAGACTACTAACAAAATAAATATAAAATAAATACAAAAAATAAGTAATAAAAACCTACCTATTAAATACATACCTAATCAAATATTTTCGAAATCGGTGCCAGCCCATACAAAGCAAAGCACACCGACTTCGAAAATATTTGATTAGGTATGTATAGTAAATGAAAACTACCAATCAGTTATTTTTTACTTTTTAGTGCTTTTGTTTGAAGTCGGTTTTTATTTTTTTTGTTAAAAAGTTTTTATTGTTAGTTAATATAAGGAGCCGAATTTGTATTAAATCTGCAGATAAAGACTATCTGTAATGTAAGTTAAAATCGATAGGTCAAAGAATACTCCGAAATTCATTTGGTTAGGTTAGGAGTTACGATTTTATAAATACAAATTATAATCTTCAAACATACGTTGTAAAATTTACATGTTAACATGAATTTAAAAAAAAAACCATGAAAATTACCTAATAGCTAGTTTTATCTGGAATTCTTTTAATACTAATCGTTAATACGTGTTTCGCGGGATATTTCATAAGTGGCACTAATTTAGTGAACGTACTACCTATAAATAAAAACATCTTTTTTTTTAAACTAAGAATCGAAAATTAACCTGAATAATAGCCTGAACGTTGCCCAAAAAGAAAATCTATTGTTGAAAAGAGGAATGAATGTATTTAATTAAATCAGTAGTATCAGGATACAGGTAACATATTATTACTTAAAGTGCTTTATATCTGAGGCTCAAAAATAGCTTATGTTTGTAAATAATACTGAAACTTTATACTAATTATTGAATTTTAACATTTGATTACGTTAATTCATTTCAGTTTTAGTGAATTTGCCTCATTTTAATAATATAATAAGATAAAAATAAAATTACTTTATAGAAAAAATGGTTTAGAGAAAACTTGAAAAGAACGCGTATTTCTTTTCTTTGTTTTCTTATCTCCTCTTTACATCGCAACGAGAGGGTGAAAATATCCATAATATATACGTGTATTAGCCTGACAGCTTTATATAGTCTCAATGATTCACTCTTATAAGATTCCTGTTAGCTGTAACTTTCATATAACTTGGATATATCTAAACGTAATTAAAGCTACCTAGGCTCAGGTAGGTACCTTTTTCTTTTGCCAATTTTCAAAAATTTTGAATAAGGACTATCGTAAAATTCAATATTATGTCTTATTTCAAAATTTGATTTTTATAATTTTAAATATTATAGATTTTTATACAAGGTTTTAACCCCCTTTTCATCCCTTAAGGGGTTAAATTTCTTTATCTTTATATAACTTCAGCGACTCTCACTTCGTTGGGGTATATCCCTAGATGCTATATGTGCTCCAGGTCATAGTCTATCTATATACCAAACTACATCCAAATTCGCTTAGCCATTTCAGCTCGAAGAAGTAAAAGCACATACTTTCACATATACAAAAACTTTCACAATTACTATAATAGTTTGATATTTTTATAGGACTTAAAAATATAAAAACAATGGCGGCAAAGTTAGTTATATCTAGAAGAAATCTTTTCTAGATAATGGTAGTGAGAAAAATTGTTATATACTAAGTTGTTTATTATTGTTCGACGACACGTTTGGCTTAGTTTGTAGTGACCTTACTAGCTTGCTGTGTCAGCGGTCGCGGGTTCGAGTGCCACTGGTATTCATTTGCGTGATGACTATGAAGGTTTGCACTCCAATCAGGAGTGTTTATATTAATAATATGTATGTATTTAAAGTTATGTATGTGTAGTACATCAACTATCTGATATCCATACCACAAGCTTCGTAGCTTCCCATGGAACTAGATGGTGCTGTGTGATAATTTCCCAACATATTCATTTATTGGAAGTTATTTATAAATAAATGGTAACTCGAAAATCTTAAGTAGTCTAACAATTTTTAAATTTTTTCGTAATATATTACTAAGGAAAAGTGGAAGCTGTTAACTAACTAAAGCAAACAATTCCATTATGTTGGTATGTAAATGGAGGCCAGAATAATGTTTATATCCTATCCATTACCACATCCATTAGACTTAATATGACAGTTTTGAATATAAACACATGTGAAATATTATACTCAAACCATAGAAAACACATTTATCTTTGAAAATTTCAAAAATATAAAAAAAAACGTATTTCTTATTTTAATAAGTTGGAAAATGATATGGAAATGGTACCTATTAGTTCTATAAAAATAAACAATCATACTTTTGATAACAAATGGTAGTCGATGAAACTATACAAACGAAATTAACTCAAACTTTCTACTTGTTCTGTCACTAATCATTGTATCGCTATCAAAGTTATATAAAATTTTAAATGTACACAAGCAACCTCACTTAATAAGGCTCCTAAAGCCCATTTCTGATATCGAAATGAACTTGATATAACTGTTTTTCATTTATAATCCTATGATTAAAACTAATAAAGAGCTCAAAATAGGTTTAAAGTAGTTCTGATCATAACTATTTTTTTGAGTTGTATCATATCGTGTTTCCCGTAAGAATGAGATAATCAACCAAGTCCCACGGTAAAAAGTAGCCTGTCACTCTCTAGCTCTCCAATTATCTCCACACAAAAAACACACCAATACATCATTCCATTTCCACATGAAAAAAGGACAGATATTATATTATAAATGTAAAAGTGTGTTTGTTTGTTCGTTTGTCTTTCTTTGACGTCAATGTAGAGTGACGGATTGGCGTGATTTCTTGGAAGGCTGAAGAGCGACATAGGCTACTATTTACAGTGGGAGGTTATTCATTATCTCATTCCCACGGGAACACCACGTTTCAATGCGACCCGCAACAACTCATCATACCTATTTATATAATTCTATCTATTCCATACTAAACGTTAAAACGAACCCGATCAAAGCGAGGGTGAGCCGCTAGTAGATTACATAATTATGTTACGATTTTTCCACAATATTGCTTCGGACTACTATTATAATTGCGAAAGTTTATTTATTTGTTTGTATGTTATTCCATAACGCTGAAATGGGTGAGCGGATTTGGATGTAATTTAGTACACGTATAGGCTTTTACCTGGAGTAACACAAAGGCTTTTAGACACCTAACGATGCACCCGAGTAAAGAGAGGTACATGAGACCATCCAAAAAAAAAGGTACAATTAAAGCAAGCAAATATGTGGTATGTACGAGTATCTACACTAATATTACAAATGTGAAAGTAACTCTTGTTACCTTGCTTGCTACCTACTTAAAGCGCTAAAGAGATTTCGATATAATTTTTGCAGGATAATAGATTGCACCCTGACGTCGGATATAGGCTATCCTTGATCCCCGCCCGTCTATCAAGTGGGCAAAATTTTTATTTATATTTTGTAAGTTTGTAAATATGAATACGACACGAGTGTCATTTAATAAAAGTATCTAATCCGTGTCACGTTCCGTCCGTCGCGTCGCGTCATTGTTGTATGGAAGAAGGATTATAAAACAATTAGTAAAGTCCTAAATAGATTAGAAACATACAAGTTTACAACTTACTATAACCCACATAATATGTAAAATTTTACTTCGCTTAGGTGTATCTCTAGGTATATTTTGTATGTATAATATTTGTAGACGACACGTTTGGCTCAGTTTGTAGTGACCCACTTGCTGTGTCAGCGGACGCGGGTTCGAGTCCCGCTAGGGGGCATTCATTTGTGCGATGAGCACGAATGTTTGTTCTCTAGTCATAGGTGTTTATAATATAATATGTATGTATTTAAAATTATACCTATAGTGTATGAATTATCTGGTATCCATAACACAAACCTCGTAGCTTACCATGGAACTAGATGGTGGTGTGTGTTAATGTCCCAACATATTTATTTATTATTTCTTTAATGATGATGATGATTATGATGACGTTCTCCTGACCAATTTAGGCTACGACGGCCATTCTCATTGAGACTAAAAAATGCGCAAGAACTATTATAGTGCACAAGTGTACACGCAGACACTAGTGCACTCTCTA